TAAGTGCAGCCTGCAAACTTCATGTGAGTAATTTTCGGGCGAACGCCAAGATAGACACTTCTAGATTTATGTTCTCGATTGTGAATATAAATCATGGCAGCTTCAAGTAGCCTCGATACCATGTTGCAATCCTTCGTGTGAGAGAGACCTTGTAGGAATTCATAACCCCATCGAGAATGTGATCGAACCCCTGCTTTCAGAACGTCCAACGGCTGGCCGAGAGCTTGAACCGAGATCGCTCTGTCGTAGAGGAGAAGAACCAAGCGAGCTCTTGAATATAATCCATCGAAGACAACCTGGGAAGGAAGTGTCAATATGTGCTATGTAGCATCCCAATCGCTCTCATCGCTAGAACCTTCGATCGAATTGCCAAATTCTATAGGCCTTGTAACCAGCGCATGTCGGTCTACTAGACTTTGATGGAGCTCTTGGAGTTTCACTTGATACGTTGTTGGCTGGCGTCGTATGGTAGAGCCACGGGGTAGCGTGAAGTCTTCTAGACCAGCAATCTTTTCAAACGTGGTCCAAAGTTCGATCCAAGGGGTCGAATTTGCTTCGAATAAGAGAGGACCTCCAGTTGAGATAGCGTAGTCCATAGGGTTGAGGCTGGTATGCAGAAGCTCTGCAAGTAAAGGTACTCGTCCTTCGAACTCTTCGTGTTTGTTCTTACTGTTGTTTGCAGCATAGACGGCGAACTGATTTGCTGTAGGCCGGACGTCATCAGACGGAACAACAAGAAGCGGAGTACACATCCCGAAATTATCATTGCCAAAGACATCGAAGACAAGCAACCTGTCTTGGGAACACAGATTGAGTCGCCGAAACTCAGACGCGGTAAGGCTTGGCCCGCGTGTTGTCATCTCTCGCGTTCGAGTGTATAAGAAGAACGGAACAACCGCTGTAGTTGCAGGGAGCTCAGAAATCGTGCATGGGATTTGCTTATGAAGGAGAAAGGCCTCCTGCTCCTCTGATGTCCATCTATACCGGCAGAAAGCTAAGTCGCCCATGGGATGCGCAGATGACAATACCACCACCATCCCAGACCGCTGTGTTGCACATTGTTCTAGAAGCGCGTAAAAGACCTTCCTGAAGAAGACCTCAATGTAGTGTAGCAGCGGTGACGGCTGCAGCGGCGGTTTGGGAAGTTGTGAAACATAGGAAAGGTTTGAAGATCGGGTTGGTCGTCCTTCGGGCAACCGGGGCTCTGGTGTGCTCTGTATGATATCATAGACCGAGCGGACCCATTCGCTACGGGGATCCATCGTTATCCAATAAGGCTTGAACGCATCCAGGGTAAAGTCGCCGTCCTTTGCAAGCGTGGTGTAGAATTCATCTGGGATTACGCGCTCAGGCAGGAAAAAGAACTTTGTGCATGTACGCCTTTGTTGGTCAGTGAGGTCGAATTGATAATAGAGGTAGTCAAAGCTAGGCGTGTTAGTATCAGATACACAATGTGGGATGAAGCCAACATACCGCTCGAATTCGTTGAAGTAGTATCCTAATCGTCCTTTCTGTTTCGTGCGTGCGATAGCTACCTTTTTCAACGGAGATGCTGAAGACCGATAGAGGCTGTCAATCTTGTGCTGAACAAACACTTGGCGACGTCGTCCTTGCCTGCGTAAGTTGGGTACAAGGAATTTGAAGTCCGCTAATCGAGGCTGTAGATTGACCAGTTCGAAATGAATATGAACGCCGTCTCGAGCCCGTGCTACTTGGCAGCCCCTCCAGACTTCATGGACGCCTTGAAAAGACGAGTAGTGTTGCGTTTTCTCCATCGGCACTAGACAATCAATCTCTTGCTCAACATGAGGTCGCCAGCCTGGAAACTGTGCGCCTGTCCATGGGTTGACGTAGTCGGCCTTTCCTTGTGCGCAGAGCTGGAGGGCCTTCAAGGCTTGTGGCAAGACTGAAAGGGGCATGCGATAGCTACTGTTGCATGGGCTTAAAAAACCATAGGTTGACGGTGGCAGCATGCACTTGCGGGATTCATTTACAGCGACCTTGCGATTCTCATCTGTAGTTGATCTGCTGCCGCTGAACCGATTGGGTATGACCTCAACCCACCCTGGGTCAGCAGCGCATATAGCAATGTAGAATCCCATTCTTGATTGTTGCCTTGTCGAAGTGATGTAGGTTTGGTCTTCGGCGCGGCCTGAAACGCAACTCTTTACGTCGAATGGCACCAATATGCGAGCCCGGTGTGCTTCATCACCACGCGTGATCCGGATATCCTCGTTGAGTCGCCAGAAGCGTTCAGTGTAATTGCCCAGTGGAGGCTGACCGCCTTCAGTCGCAAAAAGAGCTCCATCTGCTAAGGCGAACTCGGGCGATCGAATGACGAAAGCGTGATGTAGCAACGTATCGAATATCTCCGCCTCAAAGAACGTACCGCGGCGACTCTTAATGAAGTTATCAATGGTCTCAAAAGGGCGTTTATGATCAGTCGCCATCGCGGCGAAAAGATCAGTGGGGAGTGTGGGGTAAGCGATCGGGGAGTAGATGGAGTAGCGGGCTGCTAGGCGATCGGGGAAGTAGGAGAACTATCGGCGGTGGCGCACGGGCTTTACTCCACTTTCAAAGTCGCACAAGAGGGTGGGGTGTTATTAGTTCCACCGGCTAATTGCAATGAATGACGCGTTCTGCCTCACCATGACTGGTGTAGCATGTCATATCACGAAAAGCTATTTTCTGGTACCCTCTCGCCATCCACCCCTAATGCTTGGCTCGGGCATCAAATTCATGGAGTGAAATCAATTTGAAAGAACTATTGTAGATACCAAGAGCTACATGTAGTGAATGCAAGTCATCCAGAAAGAATTACGCTTGCACCAGCATCGTTACCCAGGCGCTTAACCCATCAACAATAGCTTCATCACCATACTTCCAACGTCGCAAATCAATTAGCCTTGGCCCTAAAGAAACCACTAAGAAGATGCGAAAGTCGAACACCCCAATTCCGCTTGATCTCCACATTCGAGGAATCCGTCAAGAGTCGTGAGGAGCAGTCGTTCAACTCTCGAACACGTTGACGCTTCATCGTCCCAAGCTCTTCCGTGGTACTGCGTCGCCGCTTTACCTTGCGCGTAAGACTAGCATCGCAGTACGGGGGACCCGACTGATAATGCATTAAGTCGAAGTGCAAAGTAAGGTTGCGTTCACGAAGGCGGAAATCGAATGAGGTAGGGGTAACGACCTCAAATTTGACTCCACTAGGACCGCCGACTGAAATAAGCATATTAGGCGCGACTTCGACTGGCTCACAACAGGACTGGATGCAGCGGCTGCGCTGACCAAGAAGAGTTATGTAAAGACCCTGAGGAGAAGTGTTTCTGAGGTACAGAATGCGCTTCTGTTGATGGAAGAACATGATGAAATGATGTGGCGCAACCTCGCCTGGGAATGGTAGTTGATAGTCATTCGATCTTGCCGATCCAAACGAGAAACAGGAATGACCGAGAAGAGCGTCGAACGATAATACGACAATCCGACGCTCGATGAGGGCGGGTGCAGAAGTAGACGAGCGAGGTTCGCAGATAATGTGGCGTAAATTTGGTCGCAATAACGTTGTCGAATGCGAGCTAGCGGAGAGTGGTACTAGTTCAGCAAAGGCTTGCAGCTGCGAGGAAGTCATGGTGTTGGTACGCCATTGAGAAGCTGCAGTATACGCATGATATACTCCTCCACGAGAAATGTCTCATGCTGTGCGTTGAGACATGACCTTTTGTCTTATACCACCTGTCAGGCAGGAACATTCCGAATAGCGACAGCTCGAAACGGTAATGCCTCATGAATCCATCGACTCGTTGGCATCTTCTTCTACTGGTAGTCGACGAACTTGGCGGCCCCCGAACCGAGAGCGAATGGGCATATAGAGTGAATCCAGTCCAATGGCTGAGCCAATCTCTGGATTCGAGGGACGTGGAAGGAGTGTCCATAGCTCAGCCGACGTCATGCTAGAAGCATTCTTAGTAGGGTGACAGGCCATAATTATGGCTTTGTATAGGCTCTTCATATCTGTGTAGACATACTGCTGGAACCTAGGAGCAGGTGATCCTCGCCCGCCCCAGCAGCCCTCTACCTGACCTAGCCGTTGTGCCGCATCTGGCCCTTTCCGTTTACGCGCTGGTAGGCCAAGGATTGGCGCAAGCTCTGCCACCGTACCGAAATACATTGGATCTGCTCTGACGATTATGAACGAGGTATGCGATGTATTGAAGACAGGATAGAGAGGGCCCGATACCACCTGGATGCAGTATAATGGCGACGGGGCAGGAGGAGGATTGAGCTGGAAGTCGCACGCAAGATACCGTGAGCGGTGGGGTGCTTGGAGGAAGTTCAACTGTCCCTTTTCACTCCATGTATGGCGCATGAAAACAAGGGATGGAACTGATGCCCTGCTAGAATTAGCGGTGTCTCCTAGTGCATCGCTGCACTTGACTCAACGTACCTGAGGCTGCCTGGAGCGGGTCCTCGATTTGAAGGCTCAAAGGTCTGGCGACTCCAGCTCGTCCGGCTTGGCAGGAAGAAAAAGAACCCATCCTTGTGCGCTACTGCGATTTCATTTAGTGCTAGCGCGTCAATCTCATTTGCAGGAAGATCGCGCTCGTTTGTACTATCGTAAGTCCTGTCTTTGATTTGCTGGGCGAGGTGTTCGCGGATGTCCTCCTTCCAGAAGCAACGCGAGGAGGGTGTGATATCGCGCAGCCTGGGCACTGTCTTATGCTGTCGCTTCGGGCGGGGCTCGCGGCTAGTACTGTTGGTAGGGGAAGTTGCGGTAGCATCCATGATGACAGCAGGTGAGAAGCTGTATGTTGCAGGTATCAAGAGCGACACAGTGTAAGTTGAGCAGCTGTGGGTTTCTTTCGCGAGCAAAAAGCGAGAGAGCAGACTGCCTTTGTTACTCGCTGCACGGACTGTTTGTACACACGAGCTTGGAAGCCTGGGCCCAAGCGTTTGGTAACAGCGACTGCCTCAATATGTGCAAAAAAATTTGTCCTGTGCGAAGCCCATGGGGATCGAACCCACAACCTGTTTCGAGGAACGTTAGACATGTGGAGCTTTTTAGGGATTAGATCATACCTTTGGTGTTTTATGTTTTCAACCGAAAACCAACGCGCTACCATTGCGCCAAGGCTCCTCAAGAATCTTCATCTACAGATGCAATGTTGATGAGATAAAAAGTATATATATAAATTATAATGGGTGGATCAACATCGACTGCGGTACCTCTGGTGTATCTACTCTGCATGACTCACGTTTCCGAGCTTTGCACTTTCGACCATGGAAGGTTGCGCTGGCAAATCTCCCCCACTACAGATCCGCTCCGGGTTGCGACACTGACCACTTCGCATGCAGGCTGTGCAGGCAGGTATGTGCTATGTTTCTAAGTACGTACATATCTATTTCAAACAGCCCCTGCATCTCTGCTTTCTAGCGGCACCGTCGTTTGACTTTAAGATACATACATTGTTACATGAGTGTGGTGGGGCTGCATGTGCGGGGTAGCTCCTGAACGAGGCTACTGCTTACCCAGATACCTAAATACGCTAGACAGATTAGGTTACCCAAGCGGTGATGTCTTCACTAGACATTCGATGTTTGTGAACGTACCTGCATTGATACCATAGACTTAGCGGGCTACCTTGACAGCCTACGCAACTCAGTCTTCAGTACGAACCCATCGCAACGATTAAAAGAAGGCCTCCCGTATTGCGCACCCGATAGTAATGAGCAGCTCAAATACGCTCCCGACCGATACCGACCTCTCCCTGCAACAGCTACACAACGATATATGTAGCACTGGTTGTAGCGATCGTGGAGCCAAAGTCCAGATGTTCTGCGAGCAAGTCTGGAACAGGCTTGAGGAGCATCCTCCACCCACCAACGAGATCTTGAAGTGCCTTGTAGCGATATTACAAGATGACGATAACGTTCTCCTTGCTCGCCTGGTCATTCCAGACCTTCGAATAGGCTCTCAAGATCCAACGCATCCCGTCAAGAGGGATCTCTTCCACCAGATCAACCCCCACCGATCGTCGCTAGATATCACGCCAAGTCGGTTCGAAACACGCGACGCTGAAGCACACGCACTGTACGAAGAGGAAAAGTCTCTACTTCAGGAAGCTGAGTTGTATCGGGCAGCTGTACTACTATACGGCCACGGCAACACGAACGAGGGACAAAAAGAAAGGTTGAGGAGATGGCTGGCAACTTATCCTGCTGAAGAAGCATAATGTCTGGCTGATGCGATCGTGGCATGCAGCATGCTACAGCTATCGTCAAGGTTCCATCATGTTCCATAATCATCACGCGTATATACCAGACGCCACGAGATCATAGTCAAGTGATGTGATTGTGTCCTTCATCAATATCTACATATATATCATGATTGTACGCTCTATCGTGCGGCTATCCAACCTGCGAAGATGTCCGAAAGCTCAACAACCTCCTCATCTGGTCTCGCGGACTCCTACATTGCCAAGAAGAGTTTCGATGCTTCTCAGTGCACCATATGTGAGAAATGTGAAATCCGGTATGTAGAACCGCATGAGACATACAGAAATCTACCAAAGAAAGGGCAGAGGCATCTACGTTGCCGTTGGTGCATGTCTACCAAAGCAGTCGCAGACAAAGAACCCTTCCCCGAGCATCTCATGGTACCCATGAACTTGTTATCGAGCACAGGACGTCGTCGCGCGGTCATTCATCAGCACCAGCAGACAAAGGGGGCACCCAAAGCCACCAAAGACTTTGTTGGTCCTGCGAAGGCTCAGAAAAGCACCTCAAAAGATGTAAAAGATGACGCGCAATCAGCGGTTTCATGGTTAGCGAGTCTGACTGCTGAGCAAGAGAGCATACTCATGCACCCTCCAAAACTCTTCTCTCCAGCGACAGCCCTCAAAGATCTCGCACATGCTCCAACCAGCATCAGTTGGGCAGAACTATCGGAGCGTATGAGAGATGTTCACTCGTTAGACCGACTCTTCGCCGATTTCGCTAAATTACGCGTAAAATATAAGGTCAATGTCAATACCGTCACACCAATTTGTTTACTGGCAACCTCGCTAAACAATGTAGCAATATACAGTGATATACCCTGTAAGTATCTGCTTAAAGCCATCTATGGGTCCATCTAATATCTTCTTAGTCAAATTTTGTTGGCTAGATTGTGCTTTCGAGGAAGGCGAAGCTGTGATATTCATGGCTCTCAACGTCTGGACATCGGAAGAGAGGATGAGCTGGAGCATTGCTCCGCCAGCACAGCGTGTGAAAGCATGTTCAGCGTGGGAAACCAGCATACGAGAGAGGTAAGTCTACGTTCTTGAGCCGAGCTTCAAGTGGCTAACGTCCAGCGCAGCGCTAATACTGTTTCTCTGCCGTATAAGACGGTAGCCCAGTGCAGACTCAACCGAGATGGCATGATCACAGTACAACACAAAGATGCGAATTCTCTGCTCTGGGTTCGTTCAATCGTTACCGACGATAGCGCGATTGCAGACTCCACAAGAGCAGGAGAATTGCTATTCTCAGAACGGAAAGCTACACTCAATCCAGACAAGTTGCAGAGCAGTAATGACCTCATAAATCTGCTCGTTAGCTCATTCCATCGACAACTTGGTAAGAAGAAGTGGGGGGATCTGCAGAAGTTTGCCCTGAACATACTCCGTCAGAACCGAGCACCGACCCCGTATAAGAGGTCAAAAATTGCGAGACTGATTTTAGACAAACGTGAAGGACAGGCCGTGGAGATTGATGAGGACTCAGGTTGATACCAGCCAATAGCATAGGGTTCTGCTGCACAAGTTTGTGGTACAGGTTTGCGATGAGGTTTATTAAGAGATCACGGATAAAGCTGCCACACAGTATCAAACAACAGGGGTAGGATAGCCTTGTAACTATCTTGCAGCATTCTCATTCTCGTCCAACGCAAACACTAAAATCATGCTGTCAACCGTCCAGGATATGTAGTTGCAAGTCCTGGAGTTCGCAAACAATGCGGGCTTTCAAACTGCGTTTCGCGCGCGCTCGCTCTGCCAGAACGCTTCTTGGAATGGTCGTATCAGAAGCTGGCGGATACTGATGCCAAGCGAGCCAGTGTTCGTGTTCTCCAAGTAGTTGTGGAGTTTGAGATCGTCTAGTCGATGAATAGCCCCTTCAAAGTAGGGCCCAGAAGCTGTGAACTTGCCCTCGAGACTAGATTTGTTAGCTTCCACCTTTACCAGGGCGATGTGATCTTACAAGCTTCTCGAGAGTTGCCTGTGAAGGACTATGATGACACCAGGCCCATATCGGCTGCAAAGCTTGTTGATCTTTGAGCCGCGAATACTCCAATCGCCAACATTCTCCATCACCTCCTCTTTCTGGAGTTTCATTTGATCGAAGTCTAATGGTGTCAAGAATTTGTCCAACTCATCACGCATTATAGCGCCCACTCGACCAGTGCCCCGAGGCCTCAACAGTTGCATTATGTCAAACCAGAAAAGGTCGTTAAACAGCTGGAGGATGTGTATCTTATCATCGCGACGTTCCACTTGCTGAGTCCAACTGTAGCGAGCCATGAATGCGTTACCAAGGTCGTTCGTAGAGTTATACTGGCCGCAGTTGCTAGTAAGACTCAAAATTCCGAGGAATTTCTCATCTTCTGCATTCCCTGGATGCTTGCGGATGTGCGCGTTGACGTACTCAGGAACTTCGGGAAGATGCTCAAGGTTTGTGATGCGTTTCCAAGGATCCCTAGGGCCACCGAGAAGGACCTCAGGTACATGCTTTCTCTTCTTAAGCAACGGACTCAGCTCTTTCTCCTGGACATCCTCGCACTCGGTGCACTGATCGTATAGTCGTTGCAGCGTGGCTAAACGTTTCGCATCGAGCAGAGTACGGAAGTTGCTTGACTTTGGAAGTTAGTGAAGGAGTAAAAATTAGTTGGTGGCTGAGTACTGCAGTACCTGCCCAGCCTGATCCATCAAATCCTGCGCCCGGTCCACCAATTCCGCCAACTCTTCGGCTAATCCGTTGGCCATCTTTTCTGTTCAAGCACTCGCAAGGATGATGCGGTAGAAATATTGGAACAGCAGAGTCACTATTTTACCGTCTTCGCGTCAGTGACAACATGATGCTGCGTAGGCGCTCATCGCATCTTGTAGACGCGCACGATTGCGCAATGTGCGACCGCGCACCCACACCTGGGCATTTGTCTCAGACAATTCCGAATGTGTCCACTTGCGCTTCGGCCGCATCTCAGATACGTAGATGCTACTGAAATTTCTCTTCATCATCCCGTAGGACACTTCTCCTCTCTAGCTCGACCTTTGAAATCAGCCCAAAACACGTTCGAAAAGCTCATTCAAAGTGAAAAGCGGTCTCTGCCCGACAAGCGATATGGTCCTCTTTGTCCCTCAATTGCAAGAGGCGCATGAGGACATTGTGCGCTCCTTAAAGCCACCAATGAAGCGGCTATTGAAGGTAAGTCCTTTGCCATTTCTCGAATCTGGGCTAAGTAATCACTCAGAATCTGCGCTTCCCGATTGAAATTCTCGTGGCTATGTTCATGGTCTTTTTGCCAATTTACGTCTTCAACTGGGCTATCGTGTCTCTTGATGTTTTACACCCCGAGCATCTAGAGTCGATGATAGTGTGGCGACCTCTGGTATCGCGTCTCGTATGGATAGTCTTTTTCACTGGATGGATATGGGTACGCACGAAGAGGTACTGATACTAAGTTCCTGTGTGCGCATTGTTGATCGTAGCTAATATTGTACTTCTTTCCAGTTCCTTCAAGCAATGCTTGCTTCGTTGCGCAGCTTGCGCTGTCTGGTGTGGGCTCTCTCTACCTGGGGTCTACGAGATCTTCACCCAGATGCCGCCGCCACGCCCCTGCTATCTAGCAACGACCCGTGTCATCTCGCTATGCGCTACCGCAAGAGCGAAAAGGCTCCGGCGGCGAGCCTCAGATCCACAAATCCGAACGGCACCATACCCGAGACGCTCGTTACAAGCTTCCCAAGTTCCAAGCTTTACTCCAAAGGCAACAGTATCGCATTACGCCACTGTGAGCTTAGAGGCCCTCGGAGAGTTCGTCTACATGCACACTGAAGACACACAGGAGAACATGTTCTGTTCCTCCTTGATAGGGGAAACCCAGCTTCTCAAATCGACTTTCCCTGAGCTTTTGGATGGTCAAGATCTGCACTGGGAGTGCGAGCGGCTGCGGACAATGCTGTATGGCGATGCAAGGAAAAGATTCATCTATCGGAGGCGGAAGCCCTTGAGTCACGGGTCATTGGAGTCGCTTAATGATCGAAGAAGCGACGAAATAGAAGTCACCCGCACCACGTTGGAGCAAGTACAGGAACGCAACGCGAACGAGCCTCAAATCCTTACTGCGCCATCTGATGAAGCGAATCCCAAAGAAGCAAAGGATCCAGCAGTCGCTACCACAGTCACTGAGCTTTGTTTGTCTGAGGATCACCACGGTATCGCAGGGAATCAAGCACAACCAATAGCAAAGACACCAGAAGAGCTTGCCATGGAGAAGGCCCAGAAGGACGCCAGACAATTTGCATACCGCCAGCGTTTCTTGAGTCGACGGTACATTTCCATGCTCAGAGTAACACGTCCAAGATGCCCTCGAGAAGTTGTGATGTGTCATTTCGACATTCAAGACCACACCAAAGTCTCCGCTCGGGATCAAAAACGAGACCCGTCCCTTGGCACTATGGAATACACAACCTTCGATCGTGTGTTTGCAGCATCAGCGCCTGAGGAGACCATCCTTGATAAGATAAGCCCGCTTTTCTCCGAGCTAGCTGACCCTACGGGTAGCCATATGATCTTTGGGGTGGACGGCTTTAGTGGTTGCGGAAAGTCTCACACTATGGCTCATGTGCTCACGGCTCTTGGCCAGGACTTGTTCGCTAGCTCAGTGAGGCCTTTGCAGATCGCGGTCGAAGTATTCCAGTCCTCAGGGAGGGATGTGGATTCACTTGACATCTCCGCCACAGCCGTACAAGGTCTACGAAAATCTAGTCAAGTTCCATTGGACATAGGACGAGATCGGATGTTCCGTAAGCAGCGACCACTATACATAGTCAATGAGCTGTCCGCCTTTCGTCACCTGCTGGAAGAGACTGCAAGCTTCCGCAATCAAAGTCCGACCAAAAACAACGCGACGTCCTCCCGCACACACCTCGTAGTTCTCATATACGTCACTTCTGGCGTTCGTCAAACGACATCCACGCTTTGTTTACTGGACCTAGCAGGTAGTGAGCGCAACGATGCTGCAGGAGCCGCGGGGAACTTCGAAGAAGATGGGCGTACAAACATCATTAACAATAGCCGCATGAACATACATCTTGCGCTCGAAGCTGGACTTGTGGGTATCAAGAAGATATCTCGCGAGACTTCGGTGAGTGAAAGTACACTCAGATCAACTTTGTACGCCATGCTTATGCCCAGTTTTAGATTGGAACCCTGCTCCAAGAGCTTCTAATTGAGCGAAACGCCCTGCTCATTATGCTCTTCCACGTCAGCGTGTACACCCAACTCACTGGAGCCGTCTTGCCAACGTTGTCTACCGCTGAGCGTCTGAACCAAGCAAACCGCAAGCATAGGCAGGGTCTCAGTGACAAACCAAGGACCAGAACTTCATGGAATTGAGATGCACCCCATGGGGCGTTTCAAAAAAAGCGGTCCAGGCCATAGGTGTACTGTGTTCCTCCACGTCTGCCTGGGTGATTTGCGCCGATCACACAGGTCTTTCGATAGACAGCAATGTCGTCCCGTTGCGAGAGGGATGTGAGAAGCCCCACGAGGGGTATCTGGGACGCCGATGCGATATGGTTGGTGGTGTATGCGGAAGCAGACTCGCGGTCGCGCGAACGCTGTGCAGGCGGTGCATCGGGTAGGTATGTTACTGGGCGGGTGACATGGGCGGGACAGGTACGAGTTGTTGCGTTTGCAGTAATTGGAGGCGGCAGTGATACGCTAATGAAGCGAGTGGTAGGGCTGTGGTTTCAACGCTGTGTATCGTAGGGGTAGTAGTATCGTGAGGGTTGGCTGCCACGCCTTGAAGCGTTCCTTGGCGAGGGTCTGTGTGGACGTCTGTGGTAGCCTACAACCCAATGAAAACGAGCTCCTCGGAGTACCGAGGTACCAACATCTCCATTGCCCGGCACCTCATGTTCGTAGCAAAGCTATAATATAACATCCCACCCTGCTGCACTCGCGTACTTCCGCTGATATGTACATTTCTTGCTCATCGTCGCGGCGTATTGCGCGAGGATAATCATGTGGCGTTGTAATCGTGCGCGGTATGCTTTCCAAATTCCTCAACGTAGTGTCAACTTTGAATTGGTCTGAAGCCAAGGAACCCTGCTCGGAGTCAGTTCGGATATCAGTTGGGAAGGGCCCAACATGCAAAAGAACCACGATGCGCAGCTTTCTCGCTGTTTTCAGCAAATTGTGCTGTACATCTTCCCCGTGTGCACTACCTCCGAGCTCACGTGCGCTCCATGTAAAAGGTCTGTCATTTAGTACAGGTTCCAAGCTTACCAGCTGTGCGCGAGCACATCACGAACACCAGTGTCGTATCTTCAGGGCAGCAATGTGTCATTTCAGCCCAGCTGTTGGCTTGAGTACATATCAACAGAAAGACGTCACCTGGGCACATTCTATCATCCCGCGTTGCAAACGTGAGACAAAGGCTATCGCTAGATGTATTGTGGAGTGCTTTTCCTGATGCGAGCCCAGCATCCGTCTTTCATCCTATCGAGGCTCGAAGATAACGGGTTATCTGGAGCCTCGGTAATATAAGACCTTCAGCCAACTTCTTCCGGCTCTCATATGTCAAAGAAATGCGGGGTAATTTCGCAATCATCGGAACTCAACCAGCACCTTGGTTATCATAGTTGCCAGTGTCTCCCGTGTAAAGGAGCGAATGCGTTGGTTGGAAGATTAGACTTGGCCTGAGCCATGATACCCGCTGAGGCCGCTGAGGCCGCTGAGGCCGCTGTTACCTAGGTAGCCTTACGACACTCAATCACCCACCCAGAACACGTCCATACGATACATCCCGCACTTGGGCACACGCACAATCACGCATTTACAATCCTACCCTACGCACATCAAGCTGGTATGCTAAACGAAGCTTTGAATCCGGCAAGGCCAGCTCTCGCGCACCCCGCAAATGAAGCAAGCCCATGGGTACCGATGTACTCGACTGACTCTGCACCTGAGAGCTCAGAGCTGCTCATTTGCGAACCCACCTTCATTTTTCGCATGCTGTCCGACATCGCTCGTCGCCCTGAACCCTGGCCGTCATGCCACGTATTCTGTGTCGGTCGCAGTCGACTGGCAAGCTGGCTAACGTCACAGGGATGGGAGTACAAACGGTGAAGAGCTGTAATTACCCAATACATAGTCTATATCTAAATACGCTGTAGTTCTTAATCCCACGCACACGCTTGCAAGCCGTATACCGTTGGTGAGATAGAGGAAATACATGATCATATCGGAGGAAATAGAAAGAAGCAATGGAAAGCAAGAAGAGACCAACTCCGATACTCCCTGTAAATTTGAGACACCCTTTACCTCTCAAGTCGCTATTCTCGTTCCCTTCCCCACCACCGTATCACTCTGCGAAGTCCTCGCCTAAAATCGAGATTATCCCTAACGAGGAGGTGTATCGGTCGTTGTGGTGATGGCGTACCATGCAGCAGCGAGAGCCCGACAGATAACGCTGAGCAGCCGATAGATGGCAGCGACGATAAGGGTTCCGGCAACGAAGGTCTTGAGAGAGGTATATGTCTGGGCATCCGGGAGGGAAATCGTTGAGACTGCGTAGAGCAAAAGTGTGATGAGCGCGCGAACGAAGCGGTAACATCCTGCTAGAGCTTCGATGCAGTCTCGTAGCGTCATCGCAGCCACCGTAACGAGGTCAGCAGCCAAGTTTGCAGCGGGCTTGTTGAAATTGGTAGATGTAGTTGCGATAGCAAGCGACTAGAGGGTAGTAAGACACACGCTCAATCGTAAGTAGTATGGGTGACTTACCTCTGCGCCCGCCAACAGAGACAGGCCCTGACAATAAACAATTGACAGTCCGCTGATTGCCACTTTGTATCGCATGAGAAGCCAGGTTGCGCAGATTTGTACGAAGCTTGCTACGTGATCGCCCCAAAGAGGGACGACTACAACGTAGCTCGCCCAATGAGCCCGATGTCCGGCTGCCATCGCGGTGACCACAGCGTCGTATATTTCGTCTCGGCACCAGGTAGAAAGAAGGATGTATGCACAGAGCACAATCAATCCTCGTATAGCAGAACGTAAAGTCCGTCTCGCATTTGTGCCGTTCGTAGGGAGGTTGGGAGTGCCCGAGCGGGAAGAAGCCGAACGTTCAAACATCGATGAGTAGGGGTCCATTACGAGCGGGAATGAAGTACGGTGACCTTGGAAATAGAATGAATAGGATTCGGCTGTTGAGAAGAGGATATGGAAGAGAGTAATTATCTGGCGAAGTACGGTCCTGGAGTGGTAGGCGAGGCAAAGTTCGAAGAGGGCATTATATGCAAGCTGGTTCAAGCTTTCCGGACAAGATGCTGTCGTCCTTGCCCAGCGCCATATCACAGCTGCATGACAATCGCCTGAACGTTGCGTCTAACCGTCGCTTGGAGGCGACACCCCGCCCTGCAGGCTCACAGCATTGTCGCCATCGGATTGTTCTGCATTCGTTCCGTGCTCACTGTGCTCATATTGCGCCCCAAACTCGTTGAGACATTTTTCGAATGCAGTCTTCCAGTGCTGAACGAAGGCCGCACTGGGCGTATTGAGATCGGTGAAGTGTGTCCCGGCGGCGGCGGCAATGAAACTCTGCATGCATCGTGATAGCTCTCTGGACATATGCAGGGCATCCTGGAACTGCGTGGTGGCTACCGGTGACTGTTCTGCTGAAGCTGATTGCTTCCATTCACCGGTCGCGGGTGTCAACTTGAGGGGCATAGTGGGCCGAGCCAGGTGCCGTGGGTGCCCAGGTGGTCTTGGCAAGTGGCAGAGGCTTGAGACAGCCTGATCGCAGAACAGTGGCGCGAAATTCTGGTAGGGAAACTAAGATGTTTATTGCATAAGAAGCTGATCAGAGAAGGAGTTTAGGCAGAGCCTGCAACGATGAGTTGCCCTCCGGACGACAGCAATTTGGCGGACCAATGGATTCTACGGAGAAAGGTTGCAACGGTCCCGACAGTGCGACCGAAACCCACTTTGCCCCCACCCCGCCACTCCGTATCCAAGCGCGCTTTCACCAAATCCTCATCCTCTACCTCTGACAATCACATCGCCATTCCACCCATGCGCACATCTTTCAATGCTGAGGATCCGCCAATTCGGGCAACAAACAATCATCGACGCCACGTCAAAGACACTCCACCGTCGCCGCAGACAAGTATCGAGCGCCAAATCCTGAGCGAGGCACCGGATCCATGCTCCCTTTCTGCGCGTTCCTCCGCGGGCCACCAAACCGTTTCCCCGAGATCATTTCGCCTACTTGCCTTGTTTGCCACTATTGCATGCCTAGTAACCTGGCTCTGCATAACCTGGCACAATCATCAGAGTCATGGGTTTGCGGCGACGCACCGTAGGCTCGACTCGTTTCTCGATACCTTGGAAATGGCTTCCAGCACCATAGCCGACTGTTGCCCAGTATCTCAAGATACTAGTGCCATGTATCACGCTCTCAACAATGCTATTATCTTAGGTCGGGACGCTAGACATGCCGTCGATGCAGCTGTAAATCAGCTGGGTAAAACTTTCTACCCGCGGAACACCTTTGGAGACATGTCTTGTCAAGAAGCGAGCCGCCTTAGCGTGAGGTTAGAAGCTGCAGCGAAGCGTGCATCCGACGTTACCGACTATCACGCGAGGGCGCTTCTTTACTGTGAAAGCGTTACATCAGAAGTGCAGCAAGCCTTGAAACGCGTTGACAAGGATCGAATGAACCTCTACGCTAGTCGAAAACAAAAGCACGTAGGGCTTCGGCAGCAGGTTTCTGAGCTCTTGGGTGGCGTTACTGATGCATCTTTTGACACGACGTTGAGCAGTTACGATGCACAAGCAGCAACTCTTAAGAAGCTTGAAGAGATCCAGAGCAATGCGTTGTTCGCCAGCAAAGGGTTCAAAGAAGAGCAGGCTATCTGGCAAAGCGTTGCAAGCACCTTGAGCGAATTGTCGCATGGCCTCCTTGAGAAGACACATGGAGGAGCAGAGGGTGACTTGTGTGTCAGTCGTGACCATCGCGAGGGACTTGTGCACAGACTTGACGTCGTGGCGAAGAGGGCTACATCGTGAACTGAGTTGACAGTGGCTGAGATAGTCTCAACATAGCGCGTTCTCGTACCTACAGCATATCCACGACGCTGTTTAGTGGACACATCATATGACACATGTCTCATGGAAGGATGCCTGCAAAGCATGTGGACAAGTAAAAGAGAGCCATACTCGCCAAATTCTCCATCGTGTCACAGCATATTCGTTGCATCTTGCTCTTTTCCGCTGAATTAGCCTCTGCTTCAGATTCTTCTCTACCTCGCTCAAGTCGTATATCTTAGCCTATTCAATATGCTACCAACATCACGACACTGGGTCCCTACTTGTACTGCTTTAGCTGTCAGGTTACTTTGTTGCTTAGTAGTAAGTTAGTGACTCCAACATGCGCTTTACCTTCTGACACTTCTATGTAAAGTTGTACACCTGCCTCTGCAACGCCAGTAACGCGGCCATCACTGGAACAAACAAACACCAGACCTTGCCCGGCGGCCACCTTCCAGCCGATTTGCTATGCATGCCAGCAATTCCCCATCTTCGCGCCGCGCTCGCACCCAGCCAACCCGACCGTTGCCTCAAGACAGAACTGTCGGCACCTTTCCTCGAACTTGCCTGCGATTTCGAAGTCAACGGATATTGCTCTGGCCCTACATGCGACTACTGGTTCGGCGCTGTGACGCGATTCCAGAATAAGCGCCACATGAGCATCGAAGAAGCCGCGGCGGACCCAGAACTGTCTGTGAAAGTAGTCAACACCTTGCTGGACAATGCGCGCGCCAAATTCATCCTTGGTCTTGACCTGATCAACCTTTCGGCAATGCAAGCGGGAAAGCTTGATACTGATCATGAGCACCACGTTCTCGGCATCGGACTGCAGGTTAGCATCGTGCTTATGTGGCACTGTGACGAGACTCGCACTCGCGCGATGAGAAGTAAGGAATGGTCGAAGATGTACAGGGATGTCGTTGCAATGAAAGAGAAGCTGCACAAATTCGGTACCCAGATGCTGTGTTGGTCATCAAGCGAGTATCCCCCACGGTCCGAGCGATGCAATGTCATGGACATGACCATGGAAGTCTTCAGTATGCTGATAGCAGAGCTCAAGCGCCGGATGCGATATGGAACGTCTCAGTGTATTGCTGCAAAGGATGAGTTGTGAATAAGATGGAGGGAGGGGGGGTTCGTCATCCGTACGAATCGGTGCGGGGAAGGTCCATGAGTACATGCGGCTGCTCCGCTCAAAGATGTTAAATTGTACATTTCTTTTGTCCATCAAGTTCTTTGCATCCGAAGGAAGACATGGGTTGATACTCCCACAAAACGAATCTATCTTAATACAGCTTTGTAATCTCCGATGTGATACATCTGTGCATCATTTATTGTCAGGGTTGTGGCATCTACGGTATCCTTTTTGAAACATCAGAAGCCCTCAATCGTTCATGGCCATATGTGAGACTTACATCCTCTTCTCCACGGCGACTTCTACACAAGCCACATTCACCAAGATTGATTGAGGTGCCCGTCGTCAAAGCTCCACACGTATCCTACATCTCGCTAGACTCTCCACTTTCGTACCAGTCCTTCGGCCCAAGTATAGCAGTTGTGATCATGCGAGGCGTATCCAGCACCCACAATGCTTGGCGAGATAGCCACATGATGATTCGGCGACTGCACCGAGCACATGGCCCCCTCACATGTTCTTGAAGCCAACGTTGGAGATCGTGCGTACATTGAACACTTCTCTGGGTCATTTTGACTAATTTTTTGTAATGCCAATGGGATGTGTGTCTGATGAGAGATTTCTGGCAAGCGTACTGGATGAGATATCGTATGAAGTCGTTGTCCTTGATCAAGATGGCTGTAAGGATACCTGCAATGACCGCTGGAAACATTGGCGAAATAATGTGGCGGCTCAGTTCAAAAGTGGTACAATCTTTTCTGACCTATTACAACCATGGAGTAGGTTTGCTCAAGATGCAAATGACTTACGTACAAAGGAAAATTGTGGAGGGAATGGAAGCTCCACCTGCGGCTGTTTTGGAAGCACTAGTACCATACCAGATTCGCGCTAGCGCTAGATGCTTGCAGTTGCCCAAAGGAACCCCATCGCGCGTGCGGGTTTCTTTGCCATTCACCACCTTTAGTGAATACGGAGCTCACATCAACTACAACGCGCAAAGCTGACGGCACAGCAAGATGCTTGCTGTTGCTTCGTTTCTTCTTTTGTGGTGCGTCGCTGTTGCCCCTCTGTTCAAACCATGGTGTGCCGATGCGCGGCCGGTGAGATACTGGAAAAGGGTAGGCTTTGTACAATAAGAGCCGCTGTATTATTGCTAATCTCCCTGCAGCAACTACTGCAAATAGCACTTGCATTCTTCATACTATTCTTTGTCGTTTTGGGCACATTTCACGTTCTCAGCCTGATTGCAGTTCGCTGCCTCGGTGCAGAGGCCTTAGAGCGATTCCTTGCCGAGCGAGGATGGCTTCAACGTTGCGCGTACTATGCGTCCATCGTTACATGGGCACTTTGGTGGCAGAAGGTCTGGTAACTTGGCACAGGTAATTAACATTGAGAGCTACGGCGCACGCAGTCTGACATCTTCACTAGCTCGCCTACCGTCGCAATCGTTCCTTCCCAGCTACGTTCACGCCAGAACCGTAAACGCCTGGCCGACGAGTTCGCCCATTCTCTCCCACCGAACCCGCCGTACTCTCGTCCTCCGTCCTCGTTTCACGAAATTCTGATCGATCATGTCCGTCCCAAGCTATCGCCTAGTAGTACTGCAAGGGCGCAGACCGATGGGCCACTCACGAGCTCCGCAACCCATACCCATCCCGTACACAGAGATACTCTGCGATAAGAGGGATTACAATCTTCGGAGGTCTGAAGCTACTGCTCAGTACTGCGACGGCTCCCTGTGCTTGTGGCAATCGTAAAGGGTACCCACAGGCATCATCTTTGTCTTTCGGCATTGTTCGCCAGCTAGGGTCTGCCCAATACACCGCGACCGGACCAGGTCCTCAGCTCTGGAGTTTTGGATTGGCGTTTCTTCCGAATGTGCGGTATACGTTGTGCAGACGCGTTCGGTAATCTTGGTTGGCAGGCACATGATTGTATCCAAGGCGAGGGCGAGAAATCTTGTAGGGTGCATAATAAGCCGACTTTGCATCAGCTTGATGCTGCAAAAGACTAATACTTCACCAAGAGCGATGGTGAGACGAGCGCAACCCCAGAGCAGTTGAATCAGTTCATGCAATTTGTTGATAATAGTCCAGGCAATAAGGACCGCGATACCGAAGATAACAATTGCAGATGAAGAAATCATGATCAGCTATGAACTTCCTGCAAGGGGCTTTGGACTGCTTTTATGTACACAAAGGTGTCATTTCTGGGGCTTTCTAGAATGGACGTGATGACAGTCGAACTTGCTAGCTGGTCCGCCTACCATTACATCCGGAGAAGCTCCATCTCGCCTCACCAGGCGGTAGGCTGTGACGACCTAGTATCCACCATCTATCTCACTAACACCGCCGCTGATATGTTGAAAGATATGAACTCAAGCCTAGAAAGATACCTCGAGAAAAGTGGTCATGAGTTTGTCTTCTCCGCGGACCCTAACTTGTTCGAGCTTTAGCACGAGTTTCCGCGTGCATATTGACACCCTCACTGGGCCTCTTGCCATGAACGACATTCAGATATCCGTCGTCGTGATGAGCCCAACCACACTCTTGACCCAACATATGACAGAATCCATCGTCTCTTGGTTCATCGTAGAACGAACAGGCTTCCCGTTCGCAAGTCAACCCACCATTTTTACATTCCTCACAAGACCCGCGATTATTGTCGCACAGTTTGGCTTCCTTGTAACATGTTGAGCATGGGACGTGGGCCTGGAAGAGGTCATGGAGCTGCTGTTGGAGACCACGGGGCATGCGGTTGAACGTGCATCTATTGATGTGCTTACCGTCACAATTCCCACAATTTGGGAACCCATTTCTGTAGATTGGTTTTCCATGGGCGTATTGGATCTCCGGGCGAAGCACCTTGCAGCTCTCTGCATCGGGGCAAGAATCACAGTGCAGTCCTGGCTCGGCCACGACACCGGAGAGAGCGACAAGTTCCTCTATAGTCATGCCGTAGGTCGGGTCCTCGATAAGATCCCGTCGTGCAAGCGGGCGACGTTTGCGAAGCGGTCTGTGCGCATATGGAGTTTCTGCATCGGTAAGGGCTTTTTCGAAGGCAGCTGCTGACCAGGACGCGGCGTTGGGCGGCAAGGTCGAAAGGACTCGCATCATCAACCTGAGAAGCATTAGCAGTTTTTCCTGCACATCCTAGATGTTGAAAGAAGTTATTGACTTACCAGTCATTTCGACCTCTTCTCTCGACCTTCAATGAGGTTCCATGGTTCCACTGCGTCTGCAACAAGCCAGTTGGGCCGTTGAGATCTACAACGAATTCTCCCTTCTCGAACAACGTGCATAAAAACTCGTGAACTTCTCCTCCGGGTAGGCTAAATATACTTAGATCAGGACACGCGGTGGAGTTGAGGAATGGCTTTGCGATGAGAGGTCCTGTGTCGCGACCAAGCTCGTTTCCAACCAGCCATTGCGTCTTGTATGACCAGCCTCTTTCATTATCTCCAGTATCGCAAGTACCGCATGAATGCGACTCGTCTATCATGGCAGTGTGGTCTGACCGTAGCAGAACGACCCGGTCGATACAAAGCGCTTCGCTTCTCTCAGGTATGCCGCCAGTCGAGGCTACATATAGGAAATCCTGTGCTCCACAAGCTGGTATGATAACCCTTGAGGAATTTGCGAGTTCAAGAAGGGTTGAGGTGGGTACGTCGCGAGACTGGGCGCTTACGTTGTGTGGCAGGAGTTTGAGTAGGATGCATCTGGGCCCACTAGGTGACTTCTGAAAGAGCGAAACAGGAAGGATACCACTACATTCGAAGTTTCTTCGGTCTTCGCCCCTCCACTTGTGTTCTATGAACACTGCATCGGCGGTTGGATGATCTGACAGCGGGATGCAGACGTGTTGGCCAAGCTTCCAGCACTGGTTGTTGAGTTTGGTACTGAATGCGTCTGCAAATTCTCGGAGGTCTGTATTTGCTGTGTCTTCTGAAATATCATTCTCTATGATATCGTTGGGGACGCTCTTGTCTGGAACATTGTCGTCATAGAGCGTGGTGTTTTTCCACTTGTCACGGATCCTGATCTTAGCAATCTTTCCATACTCTCTGATGGTTTTGGCGAACTTTTCGGGTGCATCCGTTGAGGTCAAATTGATCCTCGCAGGCGGTGTCGAATGCGTGGCCTGGTCTTCATCGGCTTTGAGTCTCGTATGAATCATCAAATCATCCTCAAGCTGATTGATACGGAAGTGCCAATTGTAGATCGGTTGTAGTTCTTCTGCGGCACACCAGCTAAGCGATTTCCCCGATGTGGGGCCGTAAGTTTTGTGCTCGATCAGATATTCGACTCCTTCCTTGTGGTCTCGGAGGATGAAGTCAGCTACCAACGGTTCCGTCGGATTTGGAATGACGCTCATCTGAGTCTCAGGACATCGCTCTAAGAAATTGGCTAAACGCTGGATCGTTTCTCTCGACGTCCGAGTGTCGGAGTTATTGCGGGAAAACTGGAAGATACCGTCTACTGTCGTATCCGGAGCCGGTACGTGCCAACCAGAGAACACGATATGATTGGTGGGGTTCGTGTACCATGATTTGGTTTCAGCCGCAGTGTTGATCCTCAGGATGGCTTCATACACGTCGTCTTCGTGGACAGCGAATGGGGCAAGGAGAGCATAGCTAACATTGGCTCTCCAAGTTCCGGAAGCTTGGCTGGATTCTTTGGTTCTGTTGAGACGAGTTTGTACCCAGGAAAGACCTTGGTAGCTTCGCAGGGGGACGATACACAGGAAATGTGGAATTGCGGGCATCATGACGATATAGAAATGAGCCCACTGGGTTGGCCTCGTGATGCTGGTCTTGACATCGAATCGGTACAGTCTTAACGGGATGGAATTAGTCCTCTGCTCAAGTGACCAATGCTCGGTACCTCTGATTTCAACAGCTGGGAAGTCGGAGGGGGGGTCGACGATGAACCCTCCATCAATGGTGCCGCCCTCGGGTCCTACAAGTCAACCATCAGTTGCTATGATACCAAATCACGACCAAGACTCACCTCGTATCGTCGCGATCTTTGTCTTGAACTTAGCCTGCCCATTCGCGCAAACCGAGCTCAGTGTACGGAAAGTCTCAGGTTCTCCGAACCAGCCGACCACATTACGGATGGATGCGATTGTATTTTGAAGTGTTGCTGGCATATTGCGTTACTCTAGGAGATACCGCAGTAGTCGGGGTATCGAACAACACTGCCTTACGACCTTAAATGTCCTCCGTATCGCTAGCTTGTTCATCGCCCAGGTTTTACATCCTCCTGAGGTCAGCAAACAAGCCAGGCTTATGAGTATATTCAACAACCACATATCAAACTCGATATGTACTCACGTATTCTCAAGCGTCGAAACTGTCAAGCATGACGACAAAGCTTGCACGATTGTTGACCTTGGATGCATTAACGAACAGCTTCATCTTTTGACATCCAGCATACGCATTTGCTATGTAACGCTGAATACACCTTAGTGCCATCAAGCTGCGCCCACAAACAGTGGATCACTGCGTAGTGAGGGCGGGCTTCCTTCTTTTGTCTCTAGATAGATGGAAGCATCGTCAGGCCGCGTTCACAAACGGATTGCTTTTGCATGAGATTGTTGGCCTAGTCTCTCTGGCTGAATTCCTATTTCCTTCCAATTACACATCCTTTTGTTGAACGCAACGGGGTATCTCGGAAAGTATGACTAGTCAAGATCAACTGCAGTTGTTTCAAGCCGTCAAGACTGCGTCCGATGGTGGCGAAATCATTGAGACCATAAGGAGTCACTCAAAGCAGAGTCTGTCATGGGCGAGTCTATCTTCTTTTTATAACGACGGAATATTCTAATTCCCTTTAGTTCCAGGACATCATCCCAGGGCTTGTTCCAGGAGACGAAAGCAATGAGCCTTGGCTAGCCGAAGCAAGGGATCTACTATGGCTGGCCGACGACTATACACAACACGAGAGATTGCGGGAGCGAAAGACTTCTCTGCAAGCCCCTGAGCCTCTTCCGCTGCATGTCGACCTCTTCAATCTAAGATCATACTGGCCATTGTGCATCCGTTACCTTTCACCAATGACACCAGACATGGCCAAAGCTGTGAATACGGTATCGCAAGTCCTGTACCGGTCCGACATCCATGAGTACAAGCAGGGTGGTGTAAGCGACGTCGCCATCTTTGACCGGATCTGGTTTATCATCACTCGGCAATCAGTACAAGACAAGTTTATAAGCCCAATAGTCAGGGAATTGAACAAACTCATCATTGCTGCAGAAGATGACCTGGACAAGATGCAGGTAGACGACATCTTACCAAGCGAGGATGCAGCCACAGACTTCCAGCAAGTTCAATTACAAAATGATTATCACACTAGCTTACTTCAAGCGCTGGTAGTGCTCCGTAAGACTATCATAGAGGAGAAAGATGTTTGGGATAAGAGCCATGACAGCGCTGTGAGAAAGCACGATCGTGGGCAGGATGTCATCGGCGAAGCGAAGAGGAGCAAGCGTTGATGTGGCGCATAGGTGAATGAGTCAAGTCTGCTTACAGAGCGATCGCATTCACTTTTGTGACATTCACTCACTTTGTACCCCTATCTTGGGTTGGTGTTTATGCTTTCTGACCGAAAACCAACGCGCTACCATTGCGCCAAGGCTCCGAATGTATTTCGATGAAGAATTTTGGGAACACAACAATAATGACTCCAAGTTTTATGATAGCTGCAGCAGCCTCGTAGCAGATCTTCTTGATCTAGAACACCCTATCAAGGGACAGCCAAGCAGTCCTCCCATAGGATGTGTGCTTTTTTCGCATGAGGGGCAGTGTGCGTCGTGCTAATGCTGTGACACATCACTATGCCCCACGTCGATCCACAATCTTCGCGTCGCTGCGCAGCTTCATGCAGACCACTGAAAGCCGCGGTACAGATAGACTTTAGAGCCATTTAGATAGCAGAGCTGGTAGACAAGACATTTATTGCTTACAAGAAAGTCCTACACAAACGCTTCCACATGCGCAAAGCTTTCCATACGCCAAACCTATGCAATCGCTAATCAACACGACAAGTTATACGCCAACAAACTGCTTTGCAAGCTCTCAATTCCGTGGCTTCCGCCACAACTCCTCCGGGTCCAGTTGCCGTGTTGGAGACACTCCACTACTCGGTTGCGAGTACTCAATACCACATGCGCCGCGATCCAAAGCAAGCGTGTTCAAGTTCCAATGAAGCTGCTCATCAGGATCCGTCGCCAGACTCGTTCGAGTACGTCCTTGCGGCTGGTATTGTGCTTGCTCGGCGTTTGAGTTGTTTGACGCCATCAAAGAAAGAGATAATGTGTCGAGCTCGGTCGCAAAGTCCATCTCCTCTTTGCTAGCTTCCAGCGCAGAGCAGATGTTGCTCGGTCGTGTTTTGGCTTTAATCTCCAACTCGTACACTCGCTGGTCGCGCGAGAACTCTGCTTCGAGCTGTCGGTGCTCGGCATACCACTGCTCGTACTGCTCTTTACTCATCTGCCCCATGGGAGGGTAGGTCGCATTATGCGCCGCTTGCCGTTGCTCCCAAATCTTCGCTGCTTCTGCTTGGATGCATTCGTTACATACAAAGGCAGCATCAACCGTGTTGCCATACGGATCGATGCAGTTTTCGCCACAGTCTTCGACAAGGTCCGTCCGGATGCGGTGAGAGCAGAGTAGCTGGTGATAGAGACGACCTTGGCACGGCGCAAAACGCTTGGTCCGGATGTTGTTGAACGTGGAGACGGGTATTTGTTGCGAGGTAGATGAAGAGGCGAAGGGGTTGTTTGCTCCTTCGTCTGGGGTGCTCGTCCAGCCCCATCGACATGCCATTACAAGATTTGCGTGAGACATAGTGTCGTCGGAGACTTTAGAGTTTGGCATGGCCCTAAAGGCACTGTTTGAAAAATCCATAATGAGGTTGATCTCCAAGTTGGACTTTTGAAGTTTGCAGAAGATATGCGGGTGGCGTCAGCTGACAACGCGTGGTTGCCTTGAGTGATGGTATTGATTGGACCTTCGAAAGTTACACAGTATCGAAGTGATTGATGTTGTGCGATTCCCGACGCGAAAGTGATCAAGGTCTGCGTTGAATAATCGGCGCTGTTCCTGTGGTCGCGTGGAGGTGCATCGTGTGTGCACAGAGCGCTAACAGAGTGTGACGCTAGCTATCGCAAGGCGTTCACTCTATGGTCCCCGGCAGTGAAAGGAGTATTGGCAACTCTGGTGAAGCGGGCCGATAGTGATGTGTCGTACGAATGTGCTGCTGAATCCTCGACGGATGATGTGCTGCTGGGATGGGCTGCGATAAAACGTGGTGAGTCGTCGCGCGACGCACTGCCTGGGTGGCCAAAGCTCGCGGTAGACGCTAAGCCCTGTTCGGGCCGATGACGATATGGAACCTTCCAGTATCTCGCCAAGTCAGCATCCAGCCACTCACCAGCCTTCACACATGTATCACGAGTAGTTCTGATTGAGACACTGAGGAAAAGCAATTTGAAGAGGGGAACTGTTGTCTCAGCACCTGTACGCGTCGTCATACAGTGAGGTAACGAAAGAAGGGGGTGGCAAAGAAGTAAAACAGGGGGATCAATCGATGCACAATCCTGCTAATCGTCTCTATATCCAACTCAATACCCTACAATCTCCAGTTTCCAAGTCTCTAGATCAAGAATCTGAAACCTCTCTCGGCACCAACCCCAGGGACAGCGTTGATTGCGCCCTTAACGTGTTCTCCACGAGCAAGTTTCTTGTTCAGCCGCCCCAGTATAATGCGCATGATGACCGCCATGATAATGGCCAGTGCTGCAGTTGCGCAATCCACACTCAGGGGAACCGTCAAATCCGCCGGACCACTCTTTGGCTGAGGATACATGTAGCTTGCATAAATCGAGCTCGTATTACTGATCGCGTTGATGAAAGCCAGTGCAGCCGCCCTCTTCGCTGGCGGACGAGGCAAAGAGTTGGAGATCCAGGCCAGAGCTACGACATATCCAGTGTATACACCAGGTACCATCAGCATCATGGCGACGTAGCGAGGTGCTGTTGCAGTCGTAGCGGCGGCAAGGATGAAGGCTGCTACGCCGACGCAGAGAGGGAGGACGATGTGGAAGAATCGTTCGCCGGTGCGGTCGGCATGCCAGGCGTTGAGGTACGTAGTGATGACCGCGAGAACATAAGGTGGCGCTGTTAGCAGAAGCGTCTCGATGTTTGGGTATCCTAGCGTCTTGACCACTGTTGGGAAGAAGTTGGTAACACTGGCCGAGGATACGTTTGCTAGAAGCATGATGGTAAGCACCCAAGTCTTGATATCGAGTAACGCAAGCTTTAGGCCGTGGAAGAAGGTCTGCGACTCTGCCGAAACCCAGTCGTCTTCACCGACGTCTTCCTGAAGCCTATAGACGGCGAGTTGGCGTTCCTCCTCTGTAAGCCAGGAAGTTGTTCGCGGGAAGTTGGGTAGGATCCAGAAGGCGCCAAAGGCAATCGCGACGGTAATGATACCCTGAAGGATCAGCTGACATCCCAGACACCCGGCTCGGCGCGTGCGATACTTACCTCGATTATGAACACCCAACGCCACGCTCTCAAGCCCTGCGTGCCATCCATATTACTCGTGATCCCCGCGGTGATGAGCCCACCGAAGGCGCCCGAGATCAAGCTTCCAGAGTAAAGAACCGCCGTTCTCAGACCCAGCTCCTTCCTCGTATACCAAGCGCTGAGGTAGAACAGACATCCTGGGAAGTATGCGGCTTCGATGAATCCCAGGAAGAAGCGGCACACCACCAGTCCAGCAAAGTTCTGGCATGCAGCAGTCGCACCCGATATGATACCCCAGATGATCATGCACGTCGGAAGGTATATGGCTGGTTTTCCTGTTTTATTGAGAAACAGATTTGACGGGATCTGCATCAAGATGTAGCCGACGAACAAAATGGAGACGGTTGTCTATTCAAGTTAATGAGAAACTTGCTGTTGGTTTCAGCAACCACATACTTGATACTGCACACTCGTGAGTTCCAGCTCGTCTTGAAGACCTGCTAGGCGAACGGCAGCGATATTATTCCTATCGAGGTAATCTGGACATTATCAGCGCTACCCACCCGCGGCCATCTACCAAAACATACTCATGATATACATCAGGATAATCATCGGCAACAATCTCGTATCGATCTTCCGTCGCATCCTCTTCTCTGCTTCAATCCTTTCATCGGCACTCATAGCAGCCACCAACGGCGGTGGGACCAGCTTGCGATGCCCATCAACGACCCCATTTCCTGCTTCTAGAGTAGTAGGCGCGATTTTGTCATCCGAGATATGCTCAATCGAAGGTTTTCGGTCGTCGGCCATTGTCGCGCGCGTCGAGCGAACTATGCGATTGTCGATTCGACGTAGGCAATGCGATGGCGTCAAGCTGAAATGTGATCAATGTGAAGGCGCAGCGACAAGAGACGATAAGCAACACTGCGGGGCCCCAAGCTTCCACTTATATGAAGCTTGCCCGTACTCCCAAGCATCGACTGGGGTAGCTCGCGCCATGTACATCATTCAACGACCGTCATGCGACGAAGACATACACCAGCGCACACCCATACCATATAGCCGAGGGCGGTTGCCGACAACCGTGCAGGAATGTCGGCCCGCTGTAAAGATCAGCATCTCACGACGACGGAGATTCGCACGCGATTCGTCAATTGGGATGGCAGTTAGTCGTAGCAATATGCTGATGCAACGGTGTGCATGCGACACGGGCTAGTAGCGTTCGTGTTGGAGGATAAATCGACATGCGGGGTGAAGATCGACCGAAGCGTCATAGCTGGCGCGAAAGTCCGGGGTGCGGACGGCTTGTTGCACGGCAACTGCAAGCGACATGCCCTCTTCTCTTTCGTCACCGTACGCTTTGCCAGCATCACGTCTCTCATGTCTTGTCGCTGGCTTTCGCGCCTTGAGCTTGCAGTATGGTTAAGGACCACGCTGCCTTCGGTACCAGTGACACAAGCACCCCAGAATTGGCCCGAACGGCTACAATGCGCGATATCCTCCATCAACGAACGCAAAACCTTGTGTGTAGTTATCACAAACGTATTTTGAAAGTCGCCGAATTATGCAATTTAGGCAGGCAGCATAGCAGGACGAGCTCTAGTCTGGTAGTCGGACTTCGCTCCATCGAATGGCGGTGATCGGTATTAGAGCAGTACTAACCATCTGGTAGCGGAACCACAATCTACCACGGCTCACCTGTGGCGCAGCTATCGCACTTCGTATACAAAATCAGGCAGTCCTCTGCACCTTAGCTATACATTCCCACTTTTGCAACTTCAACACCGAAAGCTATAGCTCACGAATACACAGTCATGTACGACGAACAGCTCCCCTTTTACGTACCGAACACTTCATCAACACCAAATTCATCATGGCGTGTTCCAACCCCTCAAACTCGAACGGCTGAAGAGCAGTTCCAGTTTGACCTACAGTGCCAGAGGGAGCATTTTCGACTAGAACTTCTGCGCGCGAAGGACGACCACGAACGCGCTATGAGAATACTGAGAATGGCGTCTCATTTTACCAAACTACTCTTTCTCGCTCTCATGGTATACCTGATAGCAGGAATGGTCTCAGACGTACGCTGTGTTCTCGCGCCAGAAGCCAAGGCAGTAATCAAGACCACGCCTGCAATCGACGCCGCACCAGGAACTGAACAGGTATGTTTGATATATGATTATACTTCCTAAAAAGAGACTAAATATGCTAATACCCTACATAGTTTTGGTCTAACTTGACGGAGGAACAGATCGCGTTACCTAACCGCGAATATGACGCGATCGTGGCTCGATTGAGCGAGAATCGGAAGGCTCGAAGACAAGCCCGGTGTCAAAGGTGGTCCTCATACAAGATAGCACATACGCCTGCGACACCAAGCCCAACACAAAATCATTAGTTCACCGTACAAGGTCTAGTGGGGAGACAAGGCGAGTAGTAGTCGGTCTTGAGACCTCAGGAGAACAGGGTCCCGTTCCGCATACAGATTATCTTGGCAGTTACTGGCTATCGCCAGCGTGAAGACAATGGGACAGTCTTCGTAACCGAGATACTTGCACTTATCTGTTTTTAAATTCTTCCTGCGAAAAAAAGCTAATCTGCGGTCACCTGGAGAAGGGCAAGGTGAAGGCAGCTAAGATACTCGCGGCCTGGAGTGGGCCCAAGCTTTGTGACTAGATACTCTACCTGACCAGATTTGATTCTTTGTCTCCAACACCTCTACACCCTAGCTCATCTCGCCCTTCATATCATCAGACTCTCAAAACCGTAAACCCGACCATCATCAACATCCAAACTATGCCTCCAGCCAAAGACAAGTGCGTGTGGTCGGTAAGTGTTGATCTCGGACTCTGCCGTCGTGCTTCGCTGACGATCATAGGTACTTGTGCGCGGAGAAGCACGTGTGGCAAAAGCAGCAGAGCTTCGAGCTCTGGTCGATGGGGTTGATGGGTGCACCATCATCCGCGACTTCACGATCGAAGGGAGCGGTTTCCTGTACGGCGATACTACGCTTTCCAAGGCTTCGCGCTGACAATTGTATAGTTACCAAATGGCGGCCACCACTCGGATCAATCCCTTACGGTCCTACATTGGCAAGGGCGCCAAAGCCAACGTCCAGATCAAGGCCCACCCCAAGTCAACCTTGGTTGCGGGAGCAGCGACCACCCAAGCGGAAGAAGGCGACGAGTACGCATACACTTCTGCGGACGATTTGAGCGACAATGTTTGAGCCTTCCCCACTCATACCAAGATGAAGAGACGAAGTTCGGGTGGAATTCGGGGCCACGTACCAGACAGAATGCAGTACTAGTGATGAGATGAAATGCAGCCATATTTACTGGATTTCCTCATCGACCGAAAGTAGCTTATTTCATGATACATGCTAACCGCATAGTAGCGCGGCACTCGACCATAGTTTTCACTGAGGCGCAGCTTTTGCACTTACTCTACAAAACCCGTCGCACTCGCCCTCCCTAACCCAACTTCCACAGTGTACTCCTACCTCCAATATCAAGGCTATTAACCTGTAGCAGGCGCGCACGCGGGCATGTACAACAAAAAGTCCACATCCCCTCACTTTCACACATCCCTCACGCGTCTATTCCCACTCGCCCATCATTGAACCCCGACTTCATCGTTAAAAGCCCATCCACAGTCTTCGCGATGGATAGATTCCGTCGTTTTTTTACGCGTGCACCGCCCGTTCCCCCACATTGGCTGCTACCAGCCACCGGCATACGGACCCCCGAGACACAGGCTACGATGGACCTTGAGAGTCAGCGTCATACACACGCGCTAATCCTGATCAACGCCCGCGGCCGTCTTGAAACGAGAAGGAAGGTCCTTGCACTCGCGTGGGCACTCGCACAGCTGGTATTTTCCGGCCTCGCGATTTATCATGCTGCACCGGGTGTTATGCAAAGCGTCGCGAACTTCTCTCCGGCCGCGGCCACACAACAGAACGTGACGCTACCTTGCTCGGAAGCAGTAAGTTATATGACGAGATGACTCTGCAGGTACGGTACACTAATGTCTTTGATAGTTCCAGCTCGTTATCGCCGGACAAATACAGTCATCGCTCAATGCCGCCCTCGGGCAATATCAGATTGATTCACAAGGCCGCGAAGAAAACATAGCCGATATCACTATTTCCCACACCCACCCACAGCAGACGATCGTCACCGCCGTGAGCAGCCCGACGCAAGTCCCGCTGGTACACAGCCACACGCCACTTTGAGACACCTGGGGGAACCATCTTAGGCAAGGACTTGAGGGAAGTCCTAGGGGAATACCTCATTGAAAGGTGCCTCCCTGAAATGACTGCACCAGGGGATTCGCGAGGGTGGTTCCGCCAGGCGGTTCCCCCAGGGAACACGTTGATAAATAAGGGTAGTTACGCAAAAGCAAGATGAGTATGAATGTGCAAAAACCCACACCAGTGGTATCTATATGATGTACAAGTTTGCCCAGTCGCCTGCCTCCAGCGAAATTCCAATGTTCCCATGCAATTTGATCGTAGTCGTCTTGATGCAGACATCCTATGTCTCCATCACGTTGCGATGTTCCCGATCGCTCCGCCCAAAACCCCTCACTCCATGTCACGTAAGAAATTGGCCATGCCGCGGCCTTCCTCCTCATCACCATCGGTCTCTCGAGCGCGCTTCCTAGTCCTCATCTTCTGGCTTGGGGCTCCCTGAACCCACAGAATCATGTGAGAGCCAGGGGGATTTGCGTGGTCAGGAGGGTAGAGGAGGGAATCTGCGCGCTTGAACTCCGCATAGGCGAGAGCCTTGTTGTCGGGGAATTCAAGTGAGCTTCGCACGAGAGACCTAGTCGCCGAGCTCTGGCACACTGCCGTGGCCTTGAGAGGCTCCAGGATATACTGCGACACAACGTCTGCCAGCCAAAAGAACTTCTTGCGAAACATCGTTCTAAGCAAGATATCGTTCCAGTTCTGCCTATCATGAAGTCAGTTTGTGCTCGAAAATTGCAGTTCACGGACTTACTTGTAGTGCAGCACACCTGAAAACTCCCACAGAAACGACACGAAGACGTCCTGGTTCCACCTGGCCTCCCAGAAAGTAAATTTGGCGTTGTTTGCCATTTGTGAGTAGTATGGTTCGACTGCGGGCACGTCTGCGAGGTTACGGCATGGGCCGTTGTTGGTAGCGGTCAGGCCGCCCTGGTACTCCGTGAGGTGTTGAATCCGGTCTTGCATCTCCTGAAGCTCGGTCTGGGTGGCTTCGCCCTTTTCAACCGCGTCATCAAACTCTTCTTCTACCTCCGCCAGCTCTGCGGCTGCGGCTGTCTGCGTATGCGCAACATGAATCCTAACCGCCTTCTTGTATGCGCGTTGCAGATCTCGGCGGGTGGTCCTCTGCGCGGGAGTCTCATTTGCCTGTGGGACCTTGAGTAGGAGTCGGAATCGGTTAAGATTGTTGATATGAGCTTGGAGGTCGTGCCAATCAGTCTCCCCCTTGATGTAGCCTTGGACCCAGCTGGACTGGCCGATCCAGCTGGTCTGCATGGTGTTCACCATGCTGACTACAGCGTTCACGTCCTTGCTCTTACTATCGTTTTGGCTCACGCCCAGAATAATTGGGTAGTGAATTGGGTCTACAGCGGACCATCTTGCCATGATCAACTTAACCGCATTCCTCTGATGGTTGACGGTGTTGACTGCTTGACCAATCTCTGCTGTGTAAAGGTCACCTGCCCTTGATGGCTCTCGCTCTTTCAAGCCATCCATGCGGTGACTCGGCAGAACGGGGCAATTGACCGGCCCGAGGTAATAAGCTGGGGGAGAGGGGAGAGTGTTCATGATGGTGATGGATATAGATGTGTACGTTGATATATGATAGACGTATATGGTAAATAGTAGAAGATGATCAGTTGATAGTGTGAGGATGAGATATCACGACGCTGAGAGAAGAGAAGAGGAGGGAGGGCATACAGGTGGGCAATATATATTATCCTCCCGAGCGCGGTTCAATTGTAACCTTACCATTCAGATATCTACAGGTAAGTCTGACAGCCAGCCTATCCTCACCAAAAGCCTGCGGTAAACGTCTCCAAAGCCGCTTCGTCGTCTCTCACTGAGACTTGCGGCGAGATCGGCAGTGACCACCAATTAGGTATCCAGCCACGGTGACCACGTGCACACCGGGTACTCTGGCGGCCGACATACAGAAAGATCGTGTACATGAGTATTGATTTGAGGGCGTCTCCAGAGTGGTGGTGTGGTGGTTCGGTGCAAGTTGGCCAGAGAAGTTGGGGTTGCCAGCATGGCTGGGGGACTGTCAACGCTAGCCGCAATCGCTTTGGCGTGGTGCACGCATGGATGCCGAGGTTGCGAACAACACCAAGCCTTGGGAATGTCTCGCTGTGATTGCTTCGCCCTCTGAGAGCGCATGCTTCTGCCCGCCGGTACAGAGCTTCGGCCTTTGCATGTGGCTTGTATGTGCGATGTAGGCGTGATGCGCAAGATTTCCGTAGCTGTGAGGAAGGTGAATTACTTGACCGGGCGAGGGTTCATTCTGACTTTGCAGGCAAACTACGCCATACTCATTTGTTCTCACCGAGACTTCTCGATCGATATCGTCGATACAGGTGTGAAGATATAGTGTAGCTCTATCAGGAATTCAACTTCGCGATAGACGAGAGAAGGAAGAAGAGCAGAGCATTGTGAGCCTGCTACCAGCAGTCAACAGTGCAATGAGGTGCATCCACGGTGCAGGACCGCCGAGCCGAGCCGAGCGCGTTTGAGAACCGGAAGCGCACCAAGGCGGAAGCTTCAAACGCGCCAAAACAGTAACCGTACACTACACATTCGCAAGATCAGATTCATTCGCCCTCGGAAGTCGCAGCGTCAGCTAGGTACGGCGAAACTCGTCCGATAGAACTGGCTACATCACCGCCCGAATCCCACTTGGACCCTGCCTTCCAACGGAGATCGCACAGCACCACCGACGAGTGTCGCCTGTTCCTACGAGCGCATCGAGAACTGGACAGAGTGCGACAATGCGCGCAGATGCATGCGGCTGTCAGGATATCTGCAGCCGGTATGCATCACACCGAGAAGCTAGCTGGAGAATACAAACTTGCAAGAGATGAGAGCGAACCACGCCGGAGATCGAGACGATGGCGGCCTGTTGACTGTGCGGAAGAGCTCGAAGTCGGCCGCGAATATGCTCCTAATACGGGCCTCACGCCAGTCGTAGGGCCTCCCTTTTATCAACTCGCCGTTTTGGAATGCAAGGCTCCGGCCAGCAGCCTCACTCTCCAACGTTCGGCTGTCTCGCACATCTTTGCCCTACACATCTGGTGTTATGTTTGCTGCATCGCGATGGTACCTCAGGGTCATGATCGCTTCCACATGCCACAATAAAGTTCTCACGGAGTTCGCATTCAGCCAATCCCCCCAACATCATTCCCCATAGCCGTGTTCTCACACCACAATGGCACAGCGTCAGCATGGCCTCGATGATCATGCACTTCGCTTCTTCACTAGCATTATCGACGCCGCCTCGCACGCCTCTGGTTTATTTGAAGCGAATGAGCATCGTAATTCTCACATTACTGACAAGCCTGCTCATCGGACGAAGATTAGAGCACTTGTATTCTCATTGCTACTACATGCTTGCCATCTGCCTACCGGCCGCCTCCTCGCATCCTCCTCAGCCCAATGTGCGTTCTCTGCCATCTGCGCCATCACCCGCCTTGTCTCATATCTATTCTTTGCGGACAATAAACTTGGCTGCAATGACCATTTCTTTAACATCTTCGAACACGGCCTTACGCAGGTCGGCATATAGAGACTCGCGAATAGTATCGTAGTCGAGGACGGGGGCGGACTGGCGGATGGCAGTGGTGTCCTTAACCTGCAAAAAGAAATTATCAGCACAGTTCTGCTAAATTGTATCCTTGTGTTAAGACTTACCGAGCCCTTGACATGCGATATGAAGTGGAAGTATATGATGAGGACGGCAATAGTCTTGACCACCAATACCGCGAAATCCCATGCATGTTTCGCGTTGGCTGCCCGGTTCCTCTGGTCGTTCTCATCAAGGATCATCTGGTGAGCGGCGCTGCGTACACGAGTGGTCGGGGTGGCCCAGCGAGGGGGAGTGTCATCTCTGGAAGAATTGACGGACTGGATCCATTCCGACGTTGGGAGAGGGGATGGCCTTGACGGTGGATTGGTCGGAGTGCTCATGTTGCTTTGCTCGTCTTGCTTGTCACTGGCCGTGGAGCAAGGAGTGGTCGACCGTGGTGAAGAAGACACAAGAGGAAGAAGCGGAATAGTCTCTTTTGTATCGTACATAATAGTCATGTCTGTACCTGGTATACACTGGAGGATGATGTATGATGGGTAAAAGTAGATCGACGAAGGAAATATGTAGGAGCGCGACTAAATTTAAAGAGTAAACTCGATGCCCTGCCACAATGGTAACCTTGGTTCACCGCCCACACTACCTACCTAATCTCCGCACATCCACGTAGTAGAGCCTCTCATCTAATAATCAGGCTTTTACTACGTACGAGGTTCTCGTCACATGAGACATGAGAACCGTGGATGTGGCGGAGTGTCCAGTACTTCGTAGGGGCTGTGAAGCGCACTCCATGGGCGTAGTTCCGCCTAGATAGGTAGCGAGAGTGGCTTGGGTGGACCAAAGTTGGGATCGGATTTTGGTTCAGCCACACATCGGCAGGGCGGCCTGTGAGGCGTCTTTGCTTCTGCATTACTATAACCAATTAATTTCACTTGGACGAGCGTAACGTCCATCCGGAGAAGGAGGGATATCGACTTCTCGCTGTAGTATTAGAAGGTGCAAACGGCCCATCGCGACGAGCGACTCACCACTTTCGCAATTCACATGTACCCATCCAATCAGGCCCTCTCGAATGAGGGATATCCGCAACACAAGAGCTCGGAAGACACAAGACGACTATCGTACCCGCCTTCCTACGAACGCCGCGCATAGGAGAGGAACATCGTCAGCTTCCCCTTGTCACGGCATGGACCCGCAAAAGATCCTAGCACAGTCTCTAGATTACTGAGATCAAGAGCTGTGTATTTGCCAATAAATTCTCAAATCTTCACCTTCCAGCCTTTTCCTTCATCTTTGACGACTTTGTGTAGCAGGAAGAGGATTGCGAAGCGTGTACTGAAATTCTGTACATGGGGCTCTTCGTCCAGTTTAGTCGCGTTACTATCGCGGGAGAAAGGATGCTAAGAGGGTCTTGATGACTAAGAAGAGGGATGAATGTGAAGAGGAACGACGCGCAGACGCCGGGCGGAGGAGGTTCAACCCCTCTTTCAAGACTAATAATGTCTCAGGTTGAGTTCTCCAGCGACAGATGGTTGGGCGCGACTTCTTCAAATTTATCTTATCATATGCCCTGCCTGTGTGTGGCTGAACCAAAACTCGTCCTCAGCTCTTTCAGATAGGCGGTTATGCTGTGATAATGTGCGCATTTTGAGTGGGTAGTGTGGCAGTGTCAACCATAGTTGCTGTCTTAGCAAGGCCTCGCACTTGCTCTATAAAACCCCGTTGCGCTTCCCCTTCCTAGATTTCCACCTCACACACTCCTGCCCATCGCATCTTGTCTCACAAACACGCACCAGGTGCTGACGTAGCCATCATGCACGATCAAAAGGAGACCACTCCCCTTCTCCCTCTGGTTTCTTCTTCACCACCGCCATCCACATTGTTCACAGGCGTCCACAACTACGAGATCGAAGACAAAATGAGCACAACGCCCAATTCACCACCCACCTTACCTGTACCAGCAAGCCCTACCCCTCCTGCCACGTCAACATGGCCCCGGGTCACCAGTCTGTTTAAGTCTGCGCCTCCAAGCTGGGCCAACCCGGCCACTGGTGTACGCAGCGAAGAAGTGCAGTCTCGCATGGACGAAGCAGGCCAAGCGGCGGCGCACGTACGCTGGCAAAGCACCAGAGCCACCATTATGCTCATCATCAAGGCCATCACCGTCGTCATCTGTGTCAGTTACGCAGCCCCGCTCTGGAAGGCCTACATCGAAAACCACTCAACCGTCGCCAAGGGTTTGGACGCTTCCGTAAGTCTTGTCACACTGATGTAAATCCAAAGAACAATGCTAATAAATCTATCAGATACCACCATTCAACGTCACGGCAGCTCGTGACGAGCTGATTGACGATGTCCGAGCTCACTTGTACAACGCTGCAACGAACGAAGCAAGGGAGAAGATGATTGACGAGATTCATCACTCTGTGTTCAAGATGGTGATGAACGCAATCGACGCACAAAACAACCGCAACGTCAGGGACGCTGTGTTTCGACAGCAATGAGCTACATTAGACGGGCGGGCAGGCTGGGCATGGAGTCTACGTTCAGATAGGAAGGGTATGGCTACCCATATCCCCCATAGACTGCTAGCATGTAGCCAATGTCTGCACCAGCCCTGCCTCTTATGTTAACAACAAATGAACCTCGCTGTATTGTCAGTACCTCACCCCTCCATGGAGTCGAACTTCTCGTGGTGTAGACATGATGTAGCAGCCATGCCCCGATGTAATCTTATGTTCATTACTCTCCCCCATCAACCACTTCTCCTTACCCAGAAACTCTCCATTCATGCCATAAGTACCAAACACCGAAACTGTACAACATCCAAACATCATCTCATAAATTCCATTACTCATGCAGCATCCATCCAAAAAGCTCGCACAGCAAGCTCCTTCTATTTCCCTCCATCATCCCAACATACCACGCCATCTCAGCGCCGGCCCCCCCTCTTCCCCTTCAACGGACTCTCCCCCTTCCCACTTTTACAAAACACGCAAACAAACACCCTAGGCAGCCACTCCTCCTTCAACCCCACACAACCCATGTGCAACCACTTGAAGCAAGCCTCACACTGCACCATGAGCGTATCGGCATCATCGACCAACCCATCGCAAACACACCTCGTGCTATCATTACTCTTGCTACTGCATTCAGTCGAGGGTGTAGTAGTAGTCGTCGGCGAGCCGTTGAAGGAATTAGAGTAGGGGTCGTAAGCGCCGTGCGATTGTAATTGGTGAAGTACGTTGTGTGACGGCGGAGGATGGGAGGTGGACATATCAGCACTCGCCTGCGCCCAGCGTTGGTTATGCGCGAGCAGTGTATTTTGCGATGCGCGTTCTGAACTTGTCAGTCGAAGGAAGTAGAAGCGACAGGCTATGCTAGCGTACCGATGCGTTGTTGGCGGGCGCCGACGACTTTTTTCAAGGCGCCGAGCGCGTCGCCGGGGGAGTCGGGCATGTGTGTGTCGTCGGGGTCTCGTTCGCGGAGGCTGGGGCGCTCCATAGCGCTGGAGCGACGGATGGTGTTTTCCGCGACGGCAGCGGCGGAGCGTCGGGTTGCTCGTAGCGTTTCGAAGGAGGTCTTGGAGAGGGCGTCGGATGCGAGTCGGGAGGCGGAGACGGAGCGCGCCATCTTGAAGGAGTTGGCGCGTTCCAGTCCACCGCTGTCTGCTCGCGCGTGTTTTGTCGCTCGACGTTCGGGTTGGGGGATGACGAAGGATGGGTTGCGGCTGACGATTGGAGCTGGCTCGTCGTCGTCCGACTCGCTGTCTTGCTCCTCGTACAGTCCGGGGTATTGGCGTCGAAGATCTTGCTGCGAAGTCTGCCGTCTGTTCCTGGGAGTCTGATCATCTCCAGTAGGTATTGTCTCTGTGCGAGCCGTTCCACTCTCGTCGATGATCAACCGTGTCCGGGGTCTTCTAATCTCAGGTATCGCTTTCAGTGATCCGCCACTTTGACGCTTCAGTGGCGACGAGCGACGGGGAATCGTCGAAGCATTAGCTGGGATTGCTATCCGAGGGTCCATTGCTCTGGTGATTCTCGGCCCACTATCGGTATTGCTTCGTTGCAGCACAGGTCTCGCATTTTCCGCTGAACCCGACGACGAAGCTGTGTTGCTGCGTGAATGCTGACTCTTGGCCTTCTTCGCCATTGCCCTCTCATTCTCTGCATCCCGCAGTTGTGTCTCATACGGTTGTCTCGACATGTCGAGCATTGGCTGCTGCGGCATACTTCCAAAGGAACCGGTCATATCGGGATTGGAGAAGCTGAGCAGCATGTTGGGATCGACACCTGCAGCTGTATATACAAAAGAGCCATTTCTTGAGCCGTGTCTCTGCTGTGAGGGTGTATTCGCGAACGACGCTGGCATGGGAGAAGCTTGGAAGCCCTGGAACGCTGGGGTTTGCATCATGTTAGCCGAAGGATGGTTCATTGCTTGCCAGTTCATGTCGTGCTGCGGTCTATGCGGGGTAGGGCCGAAGGGGTCTACACCGAGAGGTACATCTAGATCCATTTGCATGCCATCGTTCGCTGGGTCCCAGAATAGCTTCGATTGAGGCATGGGTGGCGCAGACATTGGACCACCGCTGGGGAACTGCATCATATGTGGAGTGTACTGCAGATCAGCGAAGCCAAAGGGTGTCTGGTCGAACAGGGCTCCTGAGGACTCCGGAAGCTGGCTGGGCGTCCTATGCACCACCGTAGCTGGCGTTGCCACCCCATGTCCACTTTGTTGCACACTCCTCCTAGAGGAAGCATCCCTCGTTGGAGGTGGCGTTTGCATCTGCGAAAAGTCCATGCTGACAGGACGAGAGCCGAACTGTCCCTGTGACCCAACCTTCCTCAGCTGATTAGGGCCCGGCGAGGACGACAGCCTTCGGGACACGTCGACCGGCGGAAGAGGTAGGTTTTGCGGTGCGAAGTGGTTGACATGGAACTCTGGGTCTTCGGGAGTGCGGACGGGTTGGCTGTACGAGCTCGACGGCCGGCCTATGGGCGTCGAGAGTGTGAAGGAAGGAGTCTGCACCGGGGTGTGCTGCCCATTAGGTCGTGGGGTGGCCCAGGCGTCGAGGAAGTGCGAGTGGGGAAACGACTCGGTCTTTGGTGTTTTGAGAGATCCGTCAGGGAACGTCAGCGACTTGGGAGTGGAGGAGGGACTTGGGAGATGCCAGTCCGTCGATCTAGCACGCGACCCACGTTAGCCTGGGGCACTTGCAGATGCGAGCCGAGACATGAGGAAAACCAAAAGTGAAATCTATCAACAGAACGGGAAGGAGCGGAAGAAGTCTAAAGAAAGGTATTCTTGGGATAGCATGGCAAGGGATGATGGCAACGAGCTCCAAGTGACAACCGTGCGGTGCTGCCTGACCTCTGCCTACCCTAGACCTGGATTGGGACATAGTCTGGTCCGACATGACATGAAGCCAAGGACGGCCGGAGGTTTGCAGATGAAGCTCGTTGCACCAGCCAGCCGAACGCTACACGTCTTCCGCCACATGGGAAGATGGAAGAGAGCCGTACCCATATATGTGCTGATCCAAACTCATAGCAAGCCCAATGACACAAAGCCCTGACACAATGTCCTTCCTTCTCGACCATGTAGCAGTAATATAAGACGTCGAGGGTCGTCCACGAGTCGAGGGAGGCGTTCGGCGGGGTTGGGTCGGCGGGTGGTGAAGACAAAGGCGCCCTGGATGGATTTCTTTGTTGACGGCGGGATGTTCTCGCAAACGCAGGCAGCTAGACGGGAAGCTGTGAGACCTGTTGGGTAGTACACTTGAGCAGCAGCAGGGGATATGACAGCGTTGTGAGACGTCGTCGAAGCAGGTACCGAGCAGTGCGTCAGCACAGCGTGGTCGTTATGAAGAGGCACCTGTTGCTTGCTTTGGGTGACCAGGCACGGCGAAGGTTTCTCACGTACTAGGCAGCTGGTGGGGCCGGGGAAGCTGAAGCTGCAGTTGCAAAGGTAGTAGTTCGGCAAAGATGAAGAATTGATAGTCCCGATCGTGACCCGCAGCTGGCAGCAGCAGCAAGCACTCCGCAACACACTGGCAGCACCGCCTGAGCAGGACCCGGAATGCGGCTTAGGCCAAGTCTCCTGAGGGCTAGGAGGCGTCTAGCTCAGGTACCGAGCCCGCAGGTGCATGGGCCGGCGAGGGCGATATAGCGAGGCTGTCATAATTGGGTGGGCGTGGCAGGGAGGAAGCATGGAAGAGAGGCTCTTTGTCGTCGCCGCAGCCAGCCAGCCAGCGCGCACAGCCAGGCGAAGGAAGCCGACGCCTCACCAGCCATGCGCCTAGCAGCGAATGGGGCCAAACATAACGATGAGCTAAGTCGCGAACGGACACGGAACGAACGACACCATGGCTTGGGTGATGCGTGCCGTAAGGATGAGATGGTTAGAAATGACAGGTCAACGAGGTCAATGCCTAGATGCCGACGCTAATCCGTCTTTCTGGCCCACCAACCAGCGCAGCCCTTCTCCATCTACCTCCTGAGCAAGCGTAAATCATCTACCGCTACCTCTACCAGCTACCATCTACAACATACTAGCACCCGTCCTCGAGCTCCATTCCATCAATCATGCAGCCTGACCATGCACTCCTAAATCCTTCCACCCCACAACCATTCCGGAATGTCTCCGCGCCGCATGCCGCAAATAAGCAACCAAGAAAAAAAGCGACTCGCGGTATGTATGCCAGCTGGCGAAATGATTAATCTAGCCGTCATCATGCCAGAAAAACCCACGTACCTGGATAAAAGCTACCCGCTCCCGGCGAATCATGGTCCGAGGGACGCTCTAGATTTTCTAAATTCTGCGGCAGGTAGGTAAGGTAAGCAGGGCAGCGGAGAAATGGGCCACGATAGCACTTGCCGCATTTGATTTAGTGTGAGCGAGGAGGTGTGGTTTTGGCCCCAAGATGGGTGTGTGTATGTGAGCTGCATGAATTGTAGGAACAAATTTAATTGCTGACCTGCTTGATAGATGTAGATCTACATCTCAATGCAAATGTTCCTCTGAGTACAGCATGAATCGCGGGGTAGGTGAGCATCCCACCTCGTATCTCAACACCCACTGCGATTAACATGTGAGCTGGACTTTTCGATAGCCGTTCACGCCAACACTAGCCGCCACCCGTTTCATGCAAGGTACCAATCGTTCATTCCATTCTTTCCAAACCGTTCGTCCCATTGATCCAGTCTAAATCCCCCCTTCAGCCCTGGAGCTCTTCCTCTCCGCCAATCCCTCGCATCAATCGATATGATTGGCAAACAAACTCGCGAAACTACTATAGCGTTCCTAAGTTGAAGGAACGATTGCGCGAACCATGCCCACCTGCTGCCTACAGTTAGTACAGTAAATGCGCCGCCACCTCTACATCGTTCGCGAGGAGGGGAAGTTCAGGAGATAAGATAGTAGAGTTTATCGGTTCGGCCGGTGGTGCTAGGTTTATTGGTTAAGGGTTGTTGAGCGTTTGGCTGTCTCAGGTGTTACTACCTAG